GCTGTCTCAGATTCTTGTAGTTCCTTGAAGGCACTTTCAATATTGGATTACTGCCCACATGCTTATATAAAATTCTTCTGCATAAATTACATTACTAATAAAACCTTGAACCCTAACATTCTGTGTTTGCCAAAGTGACTCCTGCTGAAGCATTTCCTTTTCAGTCATAAAACTTACTTGGGAATTTTCTCCAAATCAAAACTATGCTTGAACTTTCTTGCTACCACCTGCTGTGATATTTACAGATTCGAAAACAACCTGGCAAATAAAATCGGGGACAAGTTTTCAAAATTCTATGAAAGACATCAACATTTTAAATTCCTTCCATTAGTCAGAACTTAGAGGCAAATAGAAAATTAGTTTCAAATAACTGTTCAGGAGAATCAAAAACACAATTAAATATGTCTATTTAATTCAATGCCAGATTATGGACCATGGGTTGTATCAGGAAATCTATCATAGACCAGCATCTGTTAGCAAAATGAATTTGTTTCCCTTTGCAAACCTTTCTAAATATCTTGAACATAGTCCCTAATTCTATAGTGATATAAAAACTTTTCCTGTTTTCTTTTGCCAACCTAGTTAAACAACTATATATTCTGTGATAGATAGCACCACCTTGTGGAAGAAAACCCAAAATACAAATGTTTACAAAACCTATGAGTTTTTCAACATACTTTTATCTAGCTGGAGATACAAATGAAAGACCTCAACATAATGGCATTGGCAGAAACATATTCTAATAAACAGCATAGTAATAATTACTTTTACATAAAAGTGCACCTTTAGAAATATCCAGTTTTCTACAAAGTTGAGTCAGAATGAGGCATGTTTTTAACATGAAAATATTTCATATATTTTCACTTCATTTCACTAGCTTACGTTATTAATTCAAAGCTTGTAATCATGAAATGTTCTGTGCAGAATCCAGAAACAGTAGGTATCAACTTGATTTTTATGTATAGCTATATTTCCATAAATTTCAATGGATATTAGGCTGCATTTACCTTTTATTATAATATACACAATGTGAAATCACAGCTGTCAGTTCTTTAGCTGGTGTTAGCCTTCATACACATTAAGCTCTTCCCAAGAAATTAAGATGTCATAATATATTGGCATAGTATATCTCCACATCCAAACAGAATGGCCTTCTGTAACTGACAGACATAAATGTTATCAATGCACAGATTTTCTAAGTGCTGTCCTACATTTTTTGGTACGATACAGTGTGTGCTAATAACCACTGTTGTTATTTATTCATTATGGTTCAACTGTACTGTCAGCTGAATGTTTCAACTGGATTTGGCATTTTTATTCACCTACTGAGTCCTTCCTAAGGACTTGGGAGGGACAGATGTTGTTATTTGATGATGTTAAAGGGATTGTCACAGTTCCAGTAAAGTTGCCTTTTGCAATTGACTGATGATGATTTTGTCCATGCTGATGCTGTTCAATTGGTGCTCCAGAAGTTTTGGGATTGCCCCCAAGGAGTCTATCTTTGGTACTATCTTTGCTTTCTTTTGTCGCACTCATTCTATTTCTATCTGCAGGTCTTTATATTTTATGATTTTCTCCAGTTTTTTCTCTTCTTCTTCTCCTTCTCCTTCTCATTATTATTATGTGCCATGAAGTCATTTTTGACTGTGATTTTTCCCATGACAACCTGTCCCTAATCTGTTCTTTCAAATCTCCAAATTGTATACTTATTGCCAGTGTAACTGAGTCTATCTATCTTGATGCTGGTCATCTTTTTCTTTTTCCTTCCACTGTTCCCAGTATTAAGCCTTTTCTATTTTCTTTTAAATCTTTGGGGGTTTTTTTTGTCTTACTCAGAAACAAAGAAAAACATTTTCCATTTTATTTACGTATTCATTGATTTTTCATATGTTTGAACTGCTCATCTCCTTCAAACAAGGATTCTGGGTAGTGTGCAATCTCATTTTCCTAAGAATGTAGGATTGCACTACAGAACACGTGATGTAGATATTATAGTATATATTATAGTCATAAAACCCACATAAAAATTAATGCATATTAATCAAAACAGTTTTGTTATGAAGTATGTTTAATTTTATAATTGGCAAAATTTTAGTTTCTACTTAAATTGCATGAACGATTAGCAACTTGATGTTAAACAGACATAATTGTTTTGCTACCTTACTTCCTACTGCAAAGATTAATGTTATAACAAGCAGTGCATAACTTAGATTTGTACTTTTACTCTTAGCCGGAAAGAAATTATAACCAGATTGCAGTTTGAATGTTCTAGGACCGGCTCTTTCTTTTACATGAGGTCAAAGTTCAGTAAAAGAAAATGTACTTCATCAAGTTTTGAGTCATAAATATACATCTTAATGTTACTCTGGGAGGGTGTTTTGACAAGACAGATCCCAGCTCTGGAGTGGGAGAAATCTACAAGTTTTAAGTGCTTTCACAATCACATTGCATAATTTCAAACTGTAGAACACTTTCCTTTCTTTGCTTTTTAGAATTTAACTTTTTCAGAAAAGCTTCCAGTGATAAATGCAATTATAAGTAAAGTCAGTTGTGATGTTTAGACAGATAAACTTTAGAAAGCATTATGCAGAATCCAAGTAGATGGAGGAATTCTCAAACTGTGTAAGTTATCGAGAAGGGTGATGACATTTTTTTTAAAAAAAATTGATCAAGCTTGCAAGAACCAAAATGTTCTAGGCTTCCCTCACCATTTTGTCTATAAGTAGTCTGTGATTTACAACCATAATTAAGCCCAGAATTATGGTCATAAGTCATACTTTTTATTAAGCAGGTCATCATGTGACCAACCTAATTTTAAAACTTTTTTTGCAACAGTCATTAAGCTAACACTGTGGTTGTTCAACGAACTCATTGTTCACAATGGCTGTTTTTGCTGGAAACTGGAAGTAAACATTGGTATCTGGCAAAAAAACACATCATAGATTGTACTCAAGAGATTGCAGGATGCTGCAAATGGCCATAAATATGATCTGGTTATCCAGCACTCAAAATGCAATCACGTGACCATGGGAAAAAGCCATGGTCTTCTAAAATTGGGAGTATATTCTTTGTTTTTTAAAAAAGAGCATTATACTTCAAAATCCCATCTCCAAACACAGGGTTTGATCTACCAATTTTTTAAAAATAAATCCAAGTAAAGTTGTATGCGCGAGGACAGTCGCAAGTTACTTTTTCCAGTAACTTCCAATGGCACTAAATGAGGGATTATAAGTCAAGGACTATCTGTACTGCTTATAACAAGGCTAAAATATCAGCATTTCAGAAACCATTATATAGCCCAAATGGCATGGTGTTCTGGGAGAAACATTTTAGAAAGTGCCAAAATATAGATGTATGTGGGGTGGGCGTGGGATAAGCAAAAAAGAAAATAGGACTGGAAAAGAGGGTCATCCATTCAGATACATTTTGCAGTAAGAGGTGAATAGCATCATCATCCCAGTCAAAGGTGACAAACTGAACAGATTGCAGCTCCTAGTCAAAACTGCCCAATTTCAAAGCCTAAGCAGGATCATCCCTAGTTATATGGAATGTCCAAACCTGTAGCATAGATTGCGAGAAGATCCCTGGAGAAAGGCAATGACACCTCCCTTCTGTACAGTCCTAATAAAACTATAGAAGTTGAGCTTGACTTATGAGCATTTTGTTTTAAGAAGGCAATGGCGACCCACATTCAAACTACATGGATATGTCCGTCAAGTCATTAGGAGCCAAATTTAACTAGGATGCTTTTTATTCCAAGTGCAGAGGTATAGTGGGAATAATTCTGGTGGGAAATGTTTTCCTGCCAAACTTGAAAATAACATTAGAAGCTAAGATTAGAACAGAGGGCCAGTTTGGTGTAGTGGTTACTGACCAAATTAGAAACCAGGAGACCAAAGGCAACTGGGTGACCTTGGTCCAGTCATTTTTTTCTCAGCCCTAGGAAGGAGGCAATGGCAAACCAGTTCCAGAAAAAAAAACTTGCCAAGAAAACTGCAAGGACTATTCTAATAGGGAGGCATTAAAAGTGAGCCAGTCTGGTGTAATGGTTAAGGCACCAGGCTAGAAAGTGGGAGACTGTGAGGTCTAGTCCTGCCTGAGGCATGAAAGCCGATTGGGTGACTTTGGGCCAATCATTCTCTCTCAGTCCAACACATCTCATAGGATTGTTGTTGTGGGGAAAATAGGAGGAAGGAATAATAGATATGTCCACTGCCTTGAATTATTTATAAAAATAATAAAGGCAGGATATAAATAAAAATAAGTACAGGTAGCCCTCGACTTATGACCACAACTGAGCCCAAAATTTGTGTTGCTAAGGGAGAAATTTGTTAAATGAGTTTTGCCCCATTTTATGACTTTTCTTGCTACATTTGTTAAGTGAATCACTGCAGTTGTTAAAATGAATCTGGTTTTCCCGTTGCTTGCCAGAAGGTTGCAAAAGCTAATCACATGACCCCAGGACACTGCAACCATCAGAAAGGTGAGTCAGTTGTCAACCATCCCAATGTAAATCACATGGGAATGCTGCAAACAGTCGTTAAGTGTGAAAATGGTCAACTAAGTGACTTTTTTCAGTGCCTTTGCAACTTCGAAGGTCACTAAGCGAACTAAAAAGATTAGAAGGCACATAGGCAGCTGTATAAGCGTCCAGAGCAGACTTTCTCCCCTTCCCCCATTACAAGAGTAACGACAGGACTACAAAACTATTCAAGAGGAATAACTCCGTAGCTCTGGCGGCTCTCGTTCCTTCTCTCTTGCCCACCTTCACGGTGTCAGAATACCTGTTTTCACCCAGGGTGCAATAAAAAGTGCTTATTAGGCTATGAGAGGATTTTCTTTACTAACTGGGTGGGCATTTCTTTTTTCCGTCGCTTGCACGGGGAGGGGGGGTAAAAAAGGTGCTGCAATCTCTCTTTCTCTCTCACACACACACACTCACACTGTTCGCCGACGAAAGACACGTTAAAGTCCAATCACGAGAACGGGAAGCGTGTTACCTTCTGTCCTTCGCCAAGAAGGTCCCATTTATTCTTAGTTATGTGTGACATTTACGTGCCGTCCATCTCGCGGCGGCGGGACAAGCGGGCTCTAAGGTCCCCGCCTCTCCCTGGAACGCGGAGTTGTGGTAAAAAAAACTCCGCTCCTTCCCGGGTGCCGCCGCAACACCCGCCGCGAACACCTTGTTCTCAGCAAGGCAAACAAAGACAAGGCTCGCGGAGAAACCCGGGTGCAAAGGCGCGCTGCGACTCTGCAGGGCGGCGCTTCAGCCCTTCAGTGCCGGTTTGCGGACCGGGAGGGCAGCGCGCTAGCCGGAGCCTGGGATAGTTTGACTAGACCCGTAGTCCGCGCCCAGCTGTAGCGCGGCCGACCTGGCCCTCCGGGCCTGGCTTCCCGGAGCTGGCAAAGCAGGAAGGAGCCGCCCAAGTTATCCCAGCGCCGAAGGCGGCGGAGCTGGGAGGGGAGGGAGCAGCATGGCGTGCTACAGAGGCGAGTATACGGTAAGAGACCAAGCGCGCCGTTTCCTTGAGGGGAGCTTCGAGGGGTGGCGGGATGGGGTAGTGCCCCCCCTCACCGTTGCAGGAAAAACTTCTGGGGCAGGTCTGAGAGGAAAAGACGGCTTCGGCCGCTTGGCAGCAGCCCGGGACGTCGCCAACGAGAAAGTCGCGTTTTCTTCCCCCATGGTTACGCGCGGAGGCGGCACTGCCTGCGAAAGCGGACTGCGGTGCCTCCCAAGCCGACAGGTGCATGTAACGAGGCCTCTTTCCACGGGGAGGTTTTTTTTCCTCTTGTGCATTTGTAGCGCGGGAGGAAGGGACGAGCCCCACTTGGTTTTGCAAGGGAACTCAATTCGGTTTGCAAATTGAGGGGGGGGGGAGTTGCAATGTGGGGAAAAGCAGAGTTCTCCGTATGTCAGTGGGTGCGATTAGCAAAGATCGATTATTTTTCAGGGATTCTTAAAGAAGGATCCCTGCCTTGCCTTGCCTTGCCCTGCCCTGCCCTGGCTCCTTGCACCTCAGTGGATCTGTGATTAGGTCCCATTGAGCTGTAATAATCACTGAATGGCATTGGATCCATCCTTAGTGGTCAGACTAATCGTTTTGGCGAAATTGTGCTGATAGAATGAAGAAGTACCGTCTACACTGCCTTGTCCTCTTTTATTGGGGGGGGAGGGACGGTATAAAAATAATGTAATTGGTAAACATTTACTCTTGCTTCAGTCAGATCATGACCTGTGTAGCTTATTTATTTATCCATTAAGGGCCTATCCCATGCTTTCTGCAAGAGTTAAAAATGTTGGAAATCACATTCTGTAATCCACGTTTCCCCCATAGTTAGTTTTATTGAGAGTTAGTGACTAGCCTCAAGTTACCTTCTTATTTTACGGATATAAGAGAATATTTGTAGTATTTGCGGGGTCCTTGGTATTCTCTGAGCTGGGTTGTTTTCTTTCATTACTAAACTAGGTAATGTCAACAGTGCTAGTAAGATGTAGAGTTTGCTCTCATTTTATATACTAATGGCTTGCCCTGTCAGTGTTGGTAGAAGTGGTCTGGAGAGTATATAAAATGAGAGCAAACTTCACTCCCTTCTAGCACTGATGAAATTACCTAGATTGGTAATGAAACCTCTGCAAGAAAACAATCAAGCTTAGAGAGCACCAAGAGCCCCATAGCTAAATTTTAATTGTAAGCCGCCCAGAGTTGCTTTTCAGAATGAGGTGGACATCATATAAATTTAATAAATTAATAAAAATAAAGAGAAGTCTGAACCAGGGTCTCTAGCTCTTTGGGGTCATGAGTGGCATGGAGTGATTTGCCCTGAAACTTTATATTAGTCAAAACATTTACGTGCAATATAATTGCTGTAATTTTATTTACAATATCTTTTGATGTCGTATCAGTTGAGTCCTAGAGAATGCTGTTTTAAGATTACAGATAGTCCTCAAATTACAACCGTTTGTTTAGTGACCATTTGAAGTTACAGCAGCACTGAAAAAGTGATTTATGACCATTTTCACACTTACAACCTTTGCAGTATCCCTGTAGGCACTTAGCAACTGGCAACTGGAGGTCATGTGATCACCTTTTGGAACCTTCTGACAAGTGAAGTCAATGGGGAAGCCAAATTCAGTTAACAACTGTGTTACTGATTTAACTGCAGTGACTTTTAACAACTGTGTTAAGAAAGACCAAAACATAGGGCAAAATTCACTTGACTGTATTGCTTAGCAGCAGAAATTTTGGATTCAACTGTGGTCATAAGTCAAGGACTACTTGTAAGTTCTTGTTTGTTTCAGTAACATATAATGAACAATTATGCAATACAGTAAAGCTGTTCATAGTATTTGAAAGAGGTGCTTTGCAATATGCAGGAGTAGGAACAACAACAGAAACTCTTTGAAGCTTTATAGCAGTCACTTGTTTTGTAAGGCTGCTTTAGAAGTACTTCCCATGTGTCTCTGCATGCATACACATGCACTGCTACTTTGCAGGAGAGAAAAGCAAAATATTTGCTGTGTACATGCTTGTATTTTGATGCTTTACTTAGCCTTATGGTACAACAAAAGGTTGTAAGTAACCATGTCCATCGATCATTTATATATATATTACATATCCAAACAGCACTTCTTAAGGCATACAACAAATCCGCTAGAATGCATTGTATGAATTGTAAAAAATTATTATTGGTAAAATCTGCAGCAAAAGTTTAGCATCTCAATTACAATAGAAGTCAAGGATATTCCTATTGAAGATTATTTTCTTTTAAAACCATATAGCACGCTTCAATTGGCAGGAGAGATAAGGACCTTATACAAAAATCTTAAAATATAGGATAACTATTAGAGAAGTTACTTCTTGAGGTAATTCCTCCAGTTCATTTAGGGACTCAAAGTTATTTTTTTTTGTTAATACCCTTAACATTTAAGTTTATAATCTTGTGTGCTTGATACAGATTAAACTAAAATTATTATAATCTGACGCTTGTCTGCTTTGTGCAGATTAAATTGAGTGACCAATATCTATCCATTGGATGGCATACAAAAGATGTATTGTTTAATGAATTTTAAAATATATCCTACCTTAAAATATATCCTTATCTTAGGTTTCTGAAGATAGATTTCCTGAATCAAGAAAGTGGCGACCATTGATACATAGGAAATGCACAGATAAATTTTGGTTGATAATATTTTTCCTCTTTTGGGCAGGCTTGGTAAGTAGAGTTCCCGTTGAAATAAATGTGTTGAAAAGAATGAGATGTGATTGAAATTGTTAGTGAATAATCTGATAAAATATTTCTTCAACTGCAGTGGGTGATCTTTGAGCATATAAATTTCTCTGGAAGCAAAATTTTGCAATATATTTTAAACTGGTTTTGCTACTGTCTATTGGTTATATTATAGCAGGATGCAGTAACCTAGCTGTTTCAGTATTTTACTGCAGTTGAATATGTTTCTCTTAAGAAAATAGTTGTGTTGTTTGCCAGTAGACCCAATTCATTGCCAAATTGCTATATATATGGATATAGATATAGGGAAAACAAATTTGACATTAGATTGTTTAATCCTTTTTAGTAAGAGTTCCTTCCCTTTCTCCCAGATTCTTATAGTCTAGAACAGGAGTAGGCAACCTTAGTTCTTTTATGATTCGTGGACATCAACTCCCAGAATTTGGAGAATTTAGAAGTTGAAGTCCACAAGTCATAAAAGAGCCAAGGTTGCCTACCCCTGATCTAGAATAATTATAAGATCAGGGGTCCTTAGTCCTTTCTAAGCTTGGCTATTTTTTGCAGATGTTTCATTACCCAAACTAGGTAATATCATCAGTGCTAGTTAGTTTGCTCTCAGTTTATTTTGGAGTTAATCTATGCTCATTTGGGTCCTGATTGCCCATGGGAAAGTGTTTTAGTGTTTTTGTTCCCTTTTTGGCTTGCTGATTGTCTCTTTTGCATATAGATAGTAAATAGATATTGTTTATGTCTATGTGTCTATTGATGGCTAATTTGTCATAAGTATGTCAGGCTTCTAGAAATTCCCTAGCGTTTTTAGACTTGGCTTGGTCTGGGACGCTCACAGTTTCTCAATTGAAGCTATGGTTAAGTCTGTCCAAATGTTTTGAAATCAAAGAGCTTTCATCATGTCTTCTAACTGCAACCACATGGAAGCAGCATAGCACACAAGCCAACTAAAGCTCTTCAAAACATCCTGAGTAAACCAAAAGACCCTGCAGCCCTAGAAGAAGAAAAAAACAAGTCAACTACAACATATAGTGTAATGTTACAGCAGCCACTACGTAGAACAAACAGACAGAAGACTGACAGAATGCATCTGTGAACATCAACTAGCAGTCAGAAGACCTAATGAAAACACTTTAATTAACTCCAAAATTAACATCAGAGCAACAATCATGTAAACAATATCCCAATCAAGAAACAGCTAAACAAGCTAACAATAAACAGCCCAACCCAACAGCTGGCTCAGGAATTCTGGGAGTTGAAGTCCATAAGTCATAAAAGAGCCAAGGTTGCCTACCCCTGGCCCAACCAAAGAACCTTTAAGCCTGTCCCTCCCCCCCAATGCTGACAGGGCAAGCCACTAGAACAGACATGTCAAACTCACGACATCATGTGATGTCACGCAATATATCGGAGCTTTTTCACCATTGCCGGCAATGGGGTGGGCACGGCTCTGGTATGATGAAACCGGCCTATGGGCCGGCAGTTTGACACCTCTGCACTAGAATATAAACTGAAAGCAAACCCTACTTCTAACTAGCACTGATGATGTTGCCTAGTTTGGGTAAAGGTAACTCTGGGAGTCTTAAACCGTCTAGCAATGTATATGCTAAAACATAAATAAATTAAAAGCAAGAATTAAAAACCAAGGACACATGAGGGCAAGATGGGGAGGTGGGATTTCTTGTTACTCCATCAGCCGTCTCCACTGTGCTGTTCCCCGCTTAAATTTACCAATAAAAGAGATATTTTCCTTTATTAGTAATTTTAATGTCATGTTTGGGACAAGCTCGGGAATGGAAAGAAAAATCAGTCTGTCACTTTCCGTTAAACTGGTGCTGGTTACTAATCTGAACATTTTATTTCT